GGCGCTGCTGCTGTGGTTGATGCTGCTCCTTCTTTTGCTGCGTCGAAGCCACGAGACCGGGCGGAACAATCAATTGCTGCCTTCCTCTGCCAGGTCCGCTTCCTTCTCCATGGAGAGTAGCTCGGTCAGGCGTATATCCAGCATGCGGTTCCAGCGCTCAAGCAGTGACTTCAAAGAAAGACTTCCGTGAGCCTGTGAAGGAAAGTTCCATAGAAAACATTTGGAATAGAGGCCAGTTACTTACATATGCGTGAAGTGTCGCTTCTGCGATCATGCCATGACTTTTCTGATAGCGGCTGCAATGGCTGCTTCCCACCAGTAACTGCATTAGCAAGGTGATTAGGTCTCTAGCAGAAACAAAAACGAAAAGAAGTGAAATCAGCGGCATCTACCAGCTCAAGAAATTCCTCACAGAACTTCACAATTTTCTCCGTTGTCAAGGCGAGGCTGACTTCATCACCTTTTGTTCCAAGGGTTTTGCTATTGCTTAGCGTGACGAGGCTTGCAAAGCTCTCTTTAATTCCCCACTCTGCATCGCGAGGTCATACTTCAGCCTACAGAACAGCAACTCACTCAACAAAAGAAGCAAGAACCGAAATGTAAGTGACAAACCCCTTCGAAATGCCAAGCAGATCTAAAGCTTCAGTAGCATGGAGCAAGGTCTCTCGTCCAAGCTTGAAAGCCCTGCAAAACATGGACTGCCAGTTTAAAGCAAGTACTAAAACATACCATTTAACAGCACTAACACCGTGAGCAGCAGGATGATTAAGCGGGCAACCATGAACCTGTTGTACAAGTGCACGTCCACACACATGTCGCCATTCCATACAACATCGGTAGCCCCGGACACCAAAAGCGTCTGGAAATTCAGAGAGTTAACTACGCTCTCTGTCAATCCGAAAGCTCTAACATACCTCACCGCTAGACGTCATAAAAGTCATGAGACACACGACTGATCCCTTGTGGCCGCCAATATACTTTTGAGCCATCTGAGAAACAAATGGAAGTACGGGATTACTACTATTCGGGAATGCCAGCCGCTGCTGGCGCTACGCCCGGGGCCTGCCGGGCGTCTCTCTTATTGACTATTGAAACAGACACGACGGGTCAACTTGACCTAAGAGGGAATCACGAATATTCCCTCAATACTCCCACTCAAGTTGAGCTCACGATACTTCTTTTCTTCACGCCCAGAGCTTGTACGTGTCGCGCGAACACTGCTGGTGGAAGTGCCTTCGTGAATATATCTGCCACCATCTCCGTGGTAGCACAGTAGACGAGTTCCACTTTCTTCACCGCTACCTGTTCACGAATAAAATGAAACTGAACCTGTGTTTTGTCCTGCGATGAAATCTTGGATTCTTCGTCAAGGCAATAGCTCCTTGATTGTCGCAATGCAGAACCGTTGCCTCCCCTTGCTCGTAGCTTAGACCGTTCAGCAGAGTCCTGAGCCAAAGAATTTCTTTCGCTGCTTGGGTCATCCCAATATACTCAGCCTCTGTGCTCGAGAGAGCCACGGCTGGCTGCTCCATGTAACTGCTGCGCTGCCCAGGCTGAAGACGTAGCCAGAAGTTGATTTACGCTGATCAACTTCCCCTGCCCAGTCTGCATCCGAGAATCCCTGCAGCTTGAGTTGAGGCTGCTCTTGTTTTGTGTAGCAGAAAACATAATCGGCTGTCCCCTTCAGGTAACGAAACACCCGCTTAACTGCCTGCCAGTGTTGGAAGCCGGGATTTGCCAGGAACATCTGCCTGTACGGGATCGTCTCCATCACTGCTTTCGGTGCTTCCATCTGAGGTGCCATGTCCTTACTAAGGTGCATTGGCGTTGATGCAGAGTTGACGTCACTAAGCTTGAATTTCTGGAGGAGCTCTTCAATATATTTCTTCTGAGACGTTTCTAGTGTGCCCTTCCTCCTGTCTCTGAAGATCTGGATGCCAAGACAGTACTTGACGCTCCCAAGATCCACCATCTTGAATCTCGAGCTGAGATCTTTCTTCAGTTGATGAATCAGCTTCTTGCTTTTGCTGAGGAGCAAGCAGTCGTCCACGTACAAAGCCAACAGCACCAGGAGAGCTCCCACTTGCAGGCACGAGGCGATTGCTTCAGGCCGTAGAGGGCCTTCTTGAGCTTGCACACCAAGTGCTCTCGTCCTTTGGCAATAAATCCGGCTGGTTGCTCAATGTAGACTTCCTCCTCCAAGTCACCATTCAGGAACGCCGTCGTTACATCCATGTGCTCGACGTGCATGTCTTCGTGAGCTGCTAAGTTGTAGAGAAGTCGAATTGATGCAAGCTTCACCACTGGTGAAAAGGTCTCATAGAAGTCGACTCCTTCGACTTGTGAGAATCCTCTCGCAACAAATCTGACTTTGTAGCGCGTGTCTCCATCAGGTCCTGTCTTGAGCCGCAAGAGGAACTTGGTCTTAATCACCTTCCTCCCAGGTGGCAGCTCCACAAGATCCCAGGTCTTGTTCTCCATCAATGAGCTATACTCAGCTTGACGAGCAGTGCGCCACTGATCTGCATCAGGTCCGGCAAGAGCATCGTCCATGGTCTTCGGAACAAGTGCAGCTCGGCCATGGCTGAAGAGAAGGAGAAGCTGGTTCTCGCCTTGCTCCCCTTCTTCCTCCATGCTAGAGTTGGCAAAATAAAAGGCTGGATCGTAAGAGGTCTCAGGAATTGGCACTGTCACTGATCGGTCTCTTGCAGCCTTGGTTTCTTGCCGAGAAGCCCGCTTAGCTGCTCGTATGTCCAGCTGCTCCCTGTATTGACGAGCCTCTGTGAGTGCGCGCTCACGGCCAGAACGTCTCAAACTGCCCTCACTATTTTCAGCCCTGGTCCTGCCAACAGTGCGCTCACCACCGTGGTCTTCCTCTCCGCCGACTGGGTTTGCTGTTCCAACGCCTGCTGTGTCGAGTGGCAAGCCTTCAGCTTCAGGGAGCAAGCCCTCACCTCCATTTGGATCGCCTCCAGCACCATCCACGCTCTCTGCACCGCCTGGATCATCCTGGTCGCCGCTTCCATTCCCCTCACCGGCTCCTTCAGCTCTGCCGATTGCGCGTGCCCTAACTGGACATTCGTTGTCACTTTCTTCCGAGTCATCCGCAGCTACTTCCGTGAGAGAAAACTGTGGCGGTGGCAGGAGATTTCTTGTCACATACGTCCTGGACAATTTCCCTGCTGGAAATTTCCTGAGGTGTGTCATGTGTTTGTTTGCCCCAGAATCAAGGTACACCACTTCTGCTTCTGTGCCAAAAGTGTTCTTCGCAACCTGCTGGATGCTAGTGGCCATGAACAAGCTGCCATGGTCGTCCACGTCCTCCTGGTTGTCTTCCTCGCTACTTTCTGCTGTCCTGGCAAAGTTGGCCGACTTGTTCTTTCTTGCTGCCAGTCTCTTTGCCTCAGCTTTTCGAGCCTCCTTAGCTTTCTTGGCCTCTTCGTCTGTGCAATCTCGTGCCCAGTGCCCTGGTTTCTTGCAAATGTTACAGCGATCATTCTTCTTTTTCTTCTTGAACTTTTCTGGTTTGCTGCTCTCGCCCTGATCGTTCATTGGTCCTAGTCTGTCCCAACTGTGACAAATCGTTTCCCCTTTCCTGCGAAGAGTGCCAATTCTTTCTCATTTGAGCTCGCTTGCCCTGACTTGAGAAAACCCTCCAACGCTGTGAGGTCAGCTACGATCTGGCTGAAAGTGTTACTGGAACTTAAATGATGCGACCCTGCGAGTTGCATTGGTCCGCTAAGCCCCTTGAAGAAAGCTGTGATCAGCTCATCTTCATCGAAGTCCTTCATTTGAACTGCATCGATGGATTCTGTCTGAAGAGAAGAGAGCGGCCCTGAGACGCTGACAGAGGCAACGCCATCGTCCCAGGATCTGAAGCCCTCAGGGCTCCGATACCATATTCGGGAATGCCAGCCGCTGCTGGCGCTACGCCCGGGGCCTGCCGGGCGTCTCTCTTATTGACTATTGAAACAGACACGACGGGTCAACTTGACCTAAGAGGGAATCACGAATATTCCCTCAATAACTACATACGAACTATAGCTGGATTGCAAAAACCTGCCAATTTCCAAGAGGCAGAGCTCGAATTGTTCCGTCTGGGCCACCAAAGGCCGCCAAGGTGCCATCTCCAGAAGTGAAGCGTGGAAGAAACTCCACACTGCCATCACCCAAGGCAACACTAGAAAAAAAAAAAAAAAACAAACATACCTCAGAGGCGCTTTTTTTTCCAAGATTTGTTTGGGAACGTCACGAGCACGCATTGTGATGAGAGCCAAGAAGATGGCTTTGTTCTCGCAGCAGTTAACAACGAGGAAGCGCCGGCCTTGAGTGGTGCCAGAGCTACCCGAAGAAACGGGTTGAGCTGGAGACGATTGAGCGTCCGCCGCAGCTGTCCGACTGATCCATCGTCATCGTAAAATCTGAGGTGCTTCACGCTGGCAAGGCAAAGAAGAAGAAAACCATTAGAACCAAGGAAGCCTGTTGCAGAAGACGTCATTACCTTCCTCCACGAATCGCCTCGGTAGACTTGGATTTCGTATCTAACAGAATGGATCAAAAGATGCGAGAAACGAATCCAGCAATATTTTAGCCGGATCTCCCTCGGCAAGCTTCTGGACCTGTGCTCAAGCGAGGCGCTTGGCATCCACGCCCCCAGCTCATACAGGACCTAGAAACCCCGAATGTGAGATCCTTGGTTTCTCTAGCTTTGTCCTTCGTCCTCTGGGACGCGTCCGAAGGGTCCTTGGCCTGCTCCATCTTTTCCTGAGCAGTGTCTTTCATATCCTGCACAGCAACACTCTCGGAATGAAACAAAAAAGGAGAGAAAAAAAAACAATGAGACTTCGTCTCTTCTTCTCCCGCTAACACAAAGCCAAGCAACCAAAGTTTACTTATCTGATTATTTAAAACTAACTACATTTTTAGGACATAAATTAAATCTCCTTTAAAACTTCATAAAGAACTAGAGCTTTCTCATTCTTCCAGTCAACAAAAAGGCGATGGAGTGCGTTAAGGTACGATCGTCAAAGAGATTGTCCAAGAGGCATGCCGAGAATAAACTCAAACACCACGAGTTTGACACGGAGCATATGGACGACGAGTCTTCATCCATACTTTTCGACTTGGAGGCAAGCTTGGATTCTTTGTACGAGAAGCGATCGAGCACCCGAGAGGCCGGCTTGAAGGGCTTGATCGACGGTTTCATGGGGAAGGTGATGACCCACTTCGTGGAAGAGAAGTATGAAACACTGACTCATCAAATCCTATTGTCAATCAAGCAGAGTTCTTCGACAGAGGCTGTTCTTGCGGGGCGTGCTCTGGCCGTGGTTTCCATCACCGCGGGAGCAGGGAAAGTGGCCGAGCACGTATTCGAGGATAGCTTCCCTCATCTCTCCAAGATTTCCAAGCTCGGACGCGATTCTGCCGCGAGGGTTTCAGCGATTGAGGCTCTCGGGATGTTAACTTTCGTTGGTGGCGTGGAGGTGTCCACTGAAAGCGCGATGGAGGTTCTGTGGCAGATTGTCATCCACAAAGGCAGTGCTCACGCAGATCAAACTCTTGGTACGAGCAAACCCACACCTCCGGTCAAGGCGGCCGCCATCATGGCTTGGAGTTTGCTGCTTTCTACATTGAGCTCCAAGAGAGTCATGTCCCTCCAGCTCTCGAGTGTCCTGGGGGCTTTGTCCTCGTTGCTCGAGGATCCAGATCTAGGTGTTCGCAAGGCTGCCGGGGAAGCCATCGCTCTTCTCTGCGAAGTTGGCGGCATCCACCTCTTGCAGCAAGCTCTTGGCAAAGGTGAAAAACGAAGACGATGGCGGTGGAGCTGCAAGTGGTGGATCAGATGAAAGCGCTGGCTGCCTCTTCCAGCCGGAAGGGCCAGACGAAGAAAGAAAGATCTGAGCAGAGAAGCAGCTTCAGGGACATGGTGGCGATTCTCGAAGGTGGTGCATGTCACGAAACTTGTCTCAAGCTCAAGCATGGTGACTCGCTCAAGATCAGTACGTGGAGCCAAACCGTGCAGCTCAATGCCTTCCGGAGGCTCCTGGGCGAAGGCTTTCAGAGGCACTTGCAAGAAAACAATCTCCTACACGAAGTGTTCAACTTTGTTCCAAGTGATGCTGTGGTTTACAAGGGGACAACTAAACAGCGAAAGCACCATAACTGCATAGTGAGTAAAATGAAGACTCAACTCATGAACCAAGGAAGATGTGCCCTTGATGCCAGTAACTTTAGCGATGATAATCTTAAAATTTTCTATTGCATTCATAATTAATAAGATGTTTTAAACTTGAAACTTTCTGCTACTATTGACAAGCTTAGAGGAGCCGCGATTTCATTCGAAGTCTTTTCTTTCTTTTTTTGAGTGCCAGCGACGCAAGGGCTCATTCGGTCCGTTTTGTGGAGGCAAGCACGATAAAGGGTTCTGTGGCAGATTGTCATCAGTGCTCAAACTCGTGGTACGAGCATCACAGCTTGGAGTTTGCTGCTTTCTACGCTGAGCTCGAAGAGAGTCATGGCCCTCCGGCTCTCGAGTGTCTTGGGAGCTTTGTCCTCGTTGCTCGATGATGCAGATCTAGGTGTTCGCAAGGCTGCCCGTTAAACTTCTCTGCAAAGCTACATCCACCTCTTGGAGCAAGCTCTTGGCGAAAATGAAACGAAGACGATGGCGATGGAGCTGCAAGTGGTGGATTAGATGAAAGCGCTAGCTACCTCTTCCAGCCGGAAGGGCCAGACAGAGAAAGAAAGATCCGAGCAGAGAAGCAGCTTCAGGGACATGGTGCCGACGCGAGATCGAAGGTGGTGCGTGCTTGTCTCAAGCTCAAGCACGGTGACTCGCTCAAGATCAGTAGGTGGAGCCAAACCGTGCAGCTCAATGCCTTCTGAAGGCTCCTGAAGGCTTTCAGAGGCACTTGCAGGAAAACGATCTCCTGTTCAACTTTGCTCCAAGCAACGCGGGGACGACAAAACAGCAAAAGCATCAGAACTGCATAGTGAGTAAAATGAAGACCCGACTCATGAACGTGTGCGCTCGAGGCCAGTCGAAAGTTTAACGACGATTGCCTTGAAATATGCTAGAGGAATGGAAATCTTTGTATTCAAGACTCTAAATATCAAACTAAGATCACACGAGAAAGAACTAAAACGAGCTCACGCTCATGATTTTACCTTGACCACTTTTCACTAAATAGTACTACAAAGATCTCAAAAAGTTACACAAAATCGTTACTCCTAGAGTCGAAAACATCCCTCCCAAATACTTCTCTACCTCTTCAAGCGTTTAGTTTTCAGCTTGGCACTGAACACTGAGTGCCTCGTTAATTATTCAACCGCATTTTACAACTTCTCTCTGGATGCGCCCTCGGGAGAAACTTTCTGCTCCTCATTTTGCAAGTGAGAGGAAAAAGAAGCCGACAAGCTTACTGGTGCTCGAGTGACTACAGTCGAACCAATTACTTGCTTTATTTGTTCGAGCGATTTGATTCTATGTTTTTATTGAGGAACTCTTTTGCAAAGAGAAGAAAGTGACTATATATCAAAACCATGTTGTCACAAAAGAATAAAAAATAATGCATGCAACTTACTGCAACCATCGCAACCACGGCTTGAAGGTTTTGAATCGGAGTACTTGCTAGCCAGACTTTGTAGTGACTGCGTATTCTCTTTCATCTTCTCAACGCGTTTCATCTCCTCATCGCCAAGAGTTTCACCCTATTTCCTAGCTCCGCATGCCAGCGACGTACCAGACTTCACTGGATAATGGAGCACTGTAAGTCGATGGTTATGGTAGATTTTGTTTCCTAATGTTTGCTTCCGGAGAACAAAATATCTCAATCGACGACTCTTTCCGACGCGGAAGAAATACTGAGACTCTTTTTCCAGTGACCTGACAGGATGGCACAAAGATCTAGAGAGACATCCGAAACTCTCAAGTGATATTATTTCAAGTCGTGGGAACCTCCCTCCAAATGCAATGTAGGCAAGCACGCCGAAGTGTTCGACTTGGACACGTCGCAGTGATGGGCATTTGAATAAAGGGCTGTCACTCTGTCGTAATAACATAGAGATATGAATTTCTTGCAAAGACTAAGGGAGAGGCTTGTGAGCATAAGAAATATTTCCCATGTTAAAAAAGAAAAGATACTCAATGCGATTCCCACCTATACTCAGTTTTTCCAAATTCTCCATGCTGGAGATGACCCTAAATTCACTTTCCTCAGAGCCTCCAACTCTCAAAATTCTCAAACCTCGGAAATCTGCTCCAATCTCAGTTTGATAATGGAAGTTTCAAACCCCATAATATCAAACATTCGGCTGTTGGACACGTCACCCCTTATTCCAAACTCTTTTAAATGAGACATGCTTGCGACCAGATTTGTATGAATAATCAACACCTCCAACTTTGTCGAAGCATGAAACATCCCACAACTTTCCAAGTGAACCTGGATGCTGATTTAGTTCAAGACAAATTCAGAGTCTCTACATTCTTGAGCTGTCCAATGCTATGTGGCAGGCTTTCCACCTATACTTTTTCAGGCACAAAACCTTCAAACTTTTGAAAGAGAGAGGCTTGGCATTACAGTGAGACCAGGATTTTGATCCAGAAGTAGGCAAATGGTGCTGCAAACTCTGACCCTGCTCTTCTTAGGTATGTCCCTCTAGAAATCTCTATGCTTGAGATTCTAGGAACCCGACCTAAGGTTGAGGGACAGAAGTTCCTCATGGTTTGTGAGCCAAAGGTCTCTGACAGAAGTTCTCGAGGTAGAATATCCTCAGAAATGTCACACATGAATAGTGAAATCTTGCTATAGTTACCCTTGAAGGCGTCCCTTGCATCCTTGAAATAGCACTTGGGGCCTTCTGTTCCAAGACGTGCAAAGCAAGAGCCAACAACACATCATGAATCCTGTAAACCTTACTCTCCATCCACCATTCAACTGGATAAAAATAATTTTCTTCTTCGGTGATAAGTGCGTGCTTCCAGAACATTCAGGGCCTCTTCTGTGTTGGCAACTAGCCCCTTCCCTTTCTAACACCTGAATAGATCTATACTTTATCTTTTGACCAGTCTCACTACCTAATTGCCCAGTCTGCTGGAAATGCAGCAAAGAAGAGAAAATGCTACTGGATGCCATGAGGCCAAAACATTGTTTTTCCTTTGTTGGTGAAGATGTTGGTATGGACTTTGGAGCAAAAAGCCTTCACAGGCCTGATGTCGAATACCATTATTTATTTCTTAGCAAGGTAGTAGAGCTTTACAAGTTCACTGCTATTCAAAAGACTATATAGTTATCAATGCTTGTATTAGAGACTTGAAATAGTTTCAACAGAAAAAATGGTTCTCCTGTCCTTAGTACTACCTGCATTGACAGTAGGCCACAAATGAGTGTTCTATTCGGTGTTCGAAAGTATGCTAAGTAGCTTGGGGCTTCTGTTGCTTGTCGGATGATGCACTTAATTCTTTCAGCCTGGAGGTCCTTGGCTTGTGACTGGGACAACAGACTGAACTGTAGTGCTTTGCACTTTCATGTTACTCTATATGTTCATGTGTTCTCATTTTTTTGTCAGAGCTTAACCTTTGAGAAATAAAGGAAACTAATTATGTATGTTTGCTTGGCTGCTTCAACAGTTGAGGCTCCTTGAATTCCCATTACATTCACATAGAGATCTGCTCTTCAATGTCTGGGACTGTTTGCCTCTTCTTTCCTCCCTGTCTACCCATTTCATTCGCGCCAAGCAAGTTTTATGCATGTATGCAATTAAACATTCTCACCCATACCCAATCCCTTGGCAGTGTGAATTGTAGCCGACTGTTGCCCTACTACTGCCCACGCACCCTCTCTCATTGTCACAAGCATTGTAAGTCTTAGCCTGCCCATCATCGTTGGTTGTGCAATCAAATCACCTTCCCTGCCCCCACCCAAGCAATGTATGCCATGAAACATTTGCTTTGTGAATATTTTAAAATTTGATTTCTCTGAGCCAATTTACAAATTACCATCTGGGTTCATTTGCATTCCGTTGTATTTAGTTGACCTCAATTATCTTTAGTTGTCCTTGAGGTTGTTTTTAGTTCTTGGTTGTTTTCATTTTTACCAAGTTGTCCTTTATTATAAATTACTTTAATAATTCATATCAGAACCTTCAATTATGCCATGCAGATTAATATAAACAAAAATAAACAAAGAAATAGAAACATGAAATAATAAATTTCTGGTTTTCAGCTACGCTTGACTTTGCCTTGACTATAACATCTGACAACGGTTGGAGCGTGTTTGGGCTTCACAAAGTCAAGAGTGAGCCAACAACTACAGTACTACAGTAGATGCTGTGAGTCCGATCTTCCCTCTCTTGTTTGTTTAAATATGCTTTTTTCCTGCACCAACAACAGCAGTATAAGCAAGGCAGGTCCGACCGTGCTCAATGGATTCCTTGCTGCTTGAATTGCCTTTGGTCGCCTTCATTGTTTCCCTCTTCTGCTTCATCCTAAATCGTTTTTCAAGAAGTAAGCAGCAATTCAGTCTTCCCCCATCTCCGCCGGCTCTTCCTGTCATTGGCCATCTTCACTTGATAGGAGATCTTCCCCATCACTCCATGCTAGAGCTGTCCAAAAAGTATGGAGAGTTCATGTTTCTTAAGCTTGGCAGCTTGAACACCCTTGTTGTCTCTTCACCAGATGCTGCCAAAATTGTTCTCAAGACTCTCGATCCTGAGTTTGCAATGAAGCCCGAGCATCTGGAGGCCAAATATGCTAGCTATGGTGGACGAGGTATAATCTTTGCACAGTATGGTGAGCACTGGAGACAAGCCAGGAAGCTCTGCACAGTACAACTGCTGTCAACAAAAAGAGTTGAATCTGCTGAACCAAATCGAAAATTGGAAATGGGTCTTTTGCTTGCAGACCTGTGGAAATGTGCTGACGATGGTGCTGTTGTGAACTTGACCAACAAACTCTCCGACTTCGCCTTCAACGTAATGCTCAAGATGGTCACAGGCAAGAGCCACTCCAGCAGCGCAAGCAGCAGAGATGAAGAGGAGCAAGCGCGTAGCATTAAGGAGGGTCTCATGGAATTCGTTCGAGAAGGCACTGGAATGCATATTGCAACTTTCTTTCCGTGGCTCACGTGGGTCGACAAGCAAGTGTACAAGCTGGCCTCTGTGCACAAGCGTGTTGACAAGATCCTGGAGAGCGAAATTGATCGGCATCGAGAAAAATTGGGAAAATCGCAACCAAGCATGCAGCATGAGAACTTTATCGATGTCATGCTAATGGACAGCGACGCGAACGACGCCCATATCAAAGCAATGACAGTGGTAATGAAAGCTACTCCCGCCTGAAAAGCCCAAGCATTAAGATTGTTTGCTTTGTTTGATGCAGGACATGCTCGCGGCAAGCACTGACACTGCCTCAATCACATCGGAGTGGGCAATTTCAGAGCTACTGAATCATCCTGCTGCGCTGGCCAAGGTACAAGCCGAATTGGATGAAGTGATAGGCCAAGAACGTACCATGCAAGAGTCGGATATCCGAAGTCTCACGTACCTCCAAGCAGTTATCAACGAAACACTTAGGCTACACCCGCCAGTCCCAATTTATCCCCGCGAGAACTCTGCCCAAGCCTGCATGATCAGCGCCAAATGGGGTGTTCCTGCAAGAACGCGAGTCTTCATAAATGCATATGCAATTGGAAGAGATGAGACGCTGTGGAAGGAGGCGCACCGATTCAAGCCGGAGAGGTTCCTGGAGGAGAAAGTCGGCATCGATGCCCGAGGGCAGGACTTTGAGCTGATACCATTTGGTGCAGGACGCAGAATGTGCCCGGGGATGCAGCTGGGTCATACCAATGTCATGCTGGCCGTTGGAAGCTTGTTGCACGCATTCAACTGGATCATACCCGGAGCCGATAATGGCACCGGCAAGGTAGACATGCAGGAGCACTTCGGGATGACTGTCGCCAGAGCAGCGCCTCTCCAGCTCCTGCCGGTGCCGCGCTTGCCCGCCCATGCTCTAGCCCTAAAGCCTGGGATTTAATCAATCCAGATTCAGGCGCGAGTTTTTAATAGTAGGTACTAAAAACATTATGAAGATTTTTATAAAATAAAATGTATATATTTATATATTTTTTAAAGTATTATATGATTCAAAGTTAGTTTAGGGTTAAGGAAAGCTTTTAATAAGTGCAAGTATAAACAATCAGCAAATTCTGGTGGTCTAGTGTTGCCATGAGGCCAATCTGGAATGTGCTGTGGAATTTAGGACATGGATTCAAGTCTCTATTGTGAGCCGAATTAATGGCTAAATCAAATTAAAAAAACTTTAAAACCTTCTGAAAAATATTAAATGATAAGTTATTAAAAAAAAATTACATCAACAATATATAGCACTTGTCTCACTTGAGAGATGGGTTTCCTCATTTCAGTTGGTGCAATAACAGTGCATTTCTATCAAGTTTAGAACATAAAATTCTGCATTGAGTGTCATTGACACAAAGAAGAATTCTATGGCTCGAGTCGTCCATGCATGATGGTGATATTGACCAGCGTAATGACAAAAATGACTCAGCTTGTTTTGCAATGCCAGCAGCTCAATGCCACAATTGCATTTCAGTTGGTGCAATAACAGTGACACAGAGAAGAATTCTATGGCTCGAGTTGTCCATGCAGATATTGACCAGCGTAATGACAACAATGACTCAGCCTGTCTCCCGCAGTTTTCACTGTAGCAGTTGCAGCTGTTGGCATTCACACTACCACACTCTCCTCCGACTTGCATGAGTCAACAGTTTCTGGACTTAATTTTCTCAAACAGATGGCAATATCAACCAGTTTCTGGTGATTTGTAACACAAAGATATCTATATGAAATGCAAAGGCATGCTTGTTTGGCATGAAACAATGGCTTGACTTTGTCTGAACCATAGGATTAAAATTCCTATCAAAACACAGACTCCCCACATCTTCTACAACATCAAGGATAGCTATCAGAACATTTCTTTTGAACATTGTCTGTTCAAGTGAACCTTGACTCAGTAACTTCATTTATGAAGAAGTCTTGAATTATTTTCATTCCTTGTGGTATATCTGGGCTTCCAGCTCATTTTATTGGAAGCAGTGCAGTGGTTGCAGTATTCTTAAGCTGCAATGATTCCGGATGCCCCATCGTTTGGGATTCTAGCTCGTTGAATTGAAATTTTGGGAGGATTGATTGGCTGCTTTTCATCTCTCCTTGTTGACGACATCATCCTTAGATCTGTTCAAGTCTAACTCAAGCTCCAAATAGCCGCTATAATCATATAGAGGTAGTTTTTTGGTAGACACACTTTACCCTTTTTGCAATGAGGACTAATTTAACATAATTAGTCTACACGTCATCAACAGGCGCAACTTTTCGAATTCTTTCCCGTGCTCCGGGAATGGCGGTCGAGTTGCGCTAGGGCTTCTGAATGGCGCCGGATCACACTTCGGCGTCCTCGTCCTCCAGCTACGACCCGCAATCGCTCCAGGATTTGCAGAGAATGAGGGTCGATGATCTCATCTCGTGGCTGTCCGAGAACAAGGCGGATGGTCTTCCACCCAGGGTAAGCTCTCTTCTCTCCGAAAACCAGGGAAAGGCTAGATAGAGATGGGGCAGGAAGCACTGAGATTTTAGCTACCAGAGAATTCCCAAAGGCTAGACGGTTGATCCGGGTTTCTTTCTTTCTTGGTTCGATTTTCCAAAGGCGAGGCCGAAGGATGAGAGTTCTCAGCAGTACGAAGGGGTCTCTCCAGCATCTCTCAAAGATGAAAAGCCACAGCTACCGGCGAAAGTTTCCCCAAGAAAGCCACTCAAGCGACCACCCTTGCTCTGGAAGACCCGTCGAAACAAAGCAAAGAATGGTGGCATTGGTAGCGGTGGCCCGTTTTTGCTGAGCTCGGACTTGATCGAGAGGAATGCTGCGAGGTTTAACTCGTTTGACGAGGAGATTGAAAGGCAGAAGTGCTCCCTGGAGAATCACTACTGCACGTATGATGCTATTCGCGAGGATATCGTCAACGACACGAGAAGTATGGAGCTGTGGAGGGGCATGATGGAGGAAGTCCAGGACTCGGAGCCCGAGTTTATCGAGCGGAAGTTCCCGGATTTCCCTCCGAGTACCAGCAATCTGGAGGACCTTTGCGAAGACGAGGATGAAGATGACTCGACGGGATGCAAGTTTTTTTCCTTGAGGTTGGCACAGAACAAGTAATCTCGATCTGGTGGTGGTAGAGGATTAGCATAGGCTCGGGGGGAAAAAGAAAAGGACCAGCCAGGGACAGGGACGGAAGCCATTGACAGGAGGAAAAAACCAACGAAAGAAAAAAATTTGCTGGAGAAAACAGCAAAGCACAGTGGCTATAGAAGTATGACAGGAGTTTCTGGTGGTTTTTGTTTTACAGAAGCAAGCCAAAGAGTTTTATGTCAAGATGGCTGAGGCGCTTTTGGTAGAGAGGCAGTCTAGACACGAGCGTGGAAGGCTGCGAATGGTAAGCATAAACTCTACGGACTTTCGGTTTGGCAAGCTCTGAGAATTTTCATGTGTGTAGCTTGGCATTGTCTCCAGGTGACAAAAGGAATGAGGTCGCTCTGGTGCTCCTGCTCGCCACCAAGAACGGCTGATGATTTGCCGAAGCGGGTACGTAGAAGTTCTCAAAGCTTTCATATCTCTTCATCGAGTTCTAACGCTAGATTTTCTCTCTTTCTCTCGCAGAGGAGACCATCGTCGGCTCCAGCTTCTACCTCTGGATCACCAAGCCCACCTCCGCCATCGCTGGAGCTAAGCAGGCCGGCGAGGCCCAACCCTTTGAAGCGAACGAGAACGTTTGGGCCGCTTGCTCCTGGCAAGAGGCTCACGCAGCACTGCCTCGACAAGCCGTTCCAGTTGAGGCCACCGGTTGGGCGGAGCCGCCACAAGAGCAGCTACCAGCAGTCACTGAGGCACACGCTCCGGGGGCCATACCACGTCCTGCTGCTGGTGTTTTGGATTTGCTTCTTTGCGTTTGGTGCTCTTGCCTGGTACTTACAATATCTCGAGGAAGAACAGTTCATCCTGGTGGAAGTAGGCGCTTGTTAAGTTCTAGCCAAGCCCACTCACTCTCCACGTTTGCGTTCCTTCCAAATGTCGTGGAGGAACACTCGTGGCCAAGAAATCGATTTTGAGACAACCATGGTGTTTTGCAATGGTTAAAAAAAAGATTTTGAGACAACCAGAACTCTTTGCTTTGAAATGTTCCACGAAAACTCTATAGAAGTCAAATACATTGTTCTCAAATTTTCTATCACACTCCTATCAAAAAGCCCTCCTTTTCTTTTTCTTATGTTAAATAGGCATTGGCAGTTCCTGTGTGTTCTCTCGATCTCACATTACTTCGTTGCCTCCGCCATAGGCACCACCACTGCCACCGAAGCCACCACCACCACCGCCGTAGCCACCGCCGCCACCGCCAAAGCCACCGCCGCCCCCGAAGTCTTGTCTGGGAGCTGATGGCCTGTCCGAGGCGTAGTCGACGCGAATGCTACGGCCGCCGAGCTCCTGGAAAGTGAAAAGACAACTAAGTTAGCAAGCTCCTAAAAGGCTCCCAAAAAGAGATTTTTTCGAGCTTACATGGCCGTCCATTCCTTGGACTGCTGCTTTCGCTTCGTTGTCGTTCTCAAAGGTAACGAAGCCGAATCCTCTCGACCTTCCAGTCTCACGATCCATTATAACTCTCGCTGGCACGGAGAGAACACTGTTAGAGAGGACATTGCAAGAACACAGAAAGAAAAGGCCATGCCAGAGAGCAAGCCCAATGCTAGAGAAAAGAAAAAGGAAAACCAATGCTAGGCAAACAAGAAAAGATCAAAGATAGCCACTAAGAGTACCTTCCGTGACTTCGCCGTAGTTCGCAAATGCGGTCCTCAAGGTTCCATCATCAACGCCCCAAGCAAGGCCTGCGGACGATCCATTAGACCCAAAACGAAGAAATCCCCGAAAGTGAGCTTACCGCCAATGAAAAGCTTGGAAGCATAGGAGCGGCTGAGAATCTGCATCACCGGCACGGAGACGCTCGCGGCCGCCATGGCGGCGCTCGTTTGCGGCGCCAAGGTGCGCGCGCTTGCGGCCTTCCTCAGGGCGCGCCCGATCGAAGAGGACATCGCCATAGCCGCTGCGCAGCGCAATAGAAAATGCGAGGGCTAGGGTTTAAGGGCTTAGAGAAACCCTAGCTAAGATATTTACCTCTTAAACCCTGATTACTACTAAGCACACATTTGTTATTAGTAAATAATCAACCCCGAATAACCCTAAATTTTCTTTTCTTTTAGCTCGCAATGCTCTTCGTATTGGGAATCTCCGAGAGGAGGTCGAGGAAGTTCCGGTAGCTCGGCGGGTTTTGCTGCATTTCCTTCTGTGTTTTGGCGTAATCGACGCGAATGCTGCGACCGGCGAAGTCCTGGAAACGATCCATCAAAGATTTCAGCGAAGAATTCGAAGAACTCGCCCGCAGAGTACCTTCCCGTCCATGGATTCCAGCGCTTCCTTGGCTTCGTCCTCCCGCTTGAATGTCACGAATCCAAAGCCCTTTGATCTCCCAGTGTCTGGATTGGTCATGACTTTCGCTGGAAACAAGAAGAATTCAGTGAAATCGAGCCCGCATTGCCGTGCAATCGCCAAGAACTCACTGTCAATCACGTCGCCGAACTCCTCAAACGCGCCGCGCAGCGATAGATCATCGACTCCCCACGCGAGGCCTGCAATGCCGGAAACAAAGAGCGAGAGTGGAGCTGTAGCGAAGAAGCGAGTACTGGACCATTTACATATAGCTTGCACGCTCTCATGTAGCGCGCCTTGGGCCGATTGCGCAGCACCCGGTTGCTCACCGCCATAACAACCCTAAAACCCCTGTACACGTAGCGTTACACGTGTCTGTGCTATGCCTACTTGTCAATCTTTTGACTTTGCGTGGCACAAATCCGTCTTGCCACGCAAGCCACGTCTCTGCCAACGTGTAAAGCACGTGGACTTCCTTGTCTTTGCCCTTTCGGTTGGCCATTTGGAAGGGAAAATGTGGCGGACGCCTGTGGTGTTGCTTTTGCTGGTTTGTTGCGCGCAAGAACTCGCTAGGGTTTCGAGCTCCCATGATCGTCCCTCCGCGGAGCGTCCAATGCAGGTAGAGACCGCCGATCCTCTTTCTCTCCTCCGCCGCGAGGGCAAGGCGTGCCAGGAGAGCTATGGGATTTTCCCGTGCTCCGAAAAGCTGGGAGGCAGCGTCTTCTTGCTCATCGTCTACAGCTACGCGTTCGTCAAGGCCGCGCAGCTCCTCCTCAATGGCAGCGAGCTGCTGCTGGAGATCGCGCACCCGGGGATCGTCGGTGGCCTTTGCCTCCCAATCATTTGTACCATTCCAGACGCAGCGGTGATTCTCGGTAAGAGTTCCAGGTCTTTTCCTTCCACTTGCTTCTTTCTCTTTGGTCGTTTGATAGTTCTTGGTTGATAGTTTCTGGGATCTTCGGAGACAAGGAAACGGCCCAGTCCCAGGTGATGATCGGCATGGGTGTTCTAGCGGGTTCTACTGTTCTTCTGCTTACAATGCTCTGGGGGACTGCGCTGATCGTCGGGCGCTGCGATCTCTACGAGATAAATGGTCACAAGTACGCGAGAGAGAAAACTCTCACCAAAGGATTCCATCTCACTGGTACTGTTCTTTGTCTCTTTCAGATTTTATTTTTGCTTAGCTTCGGATTACTTTGCAGAGACTGGAGTCACTCTGACGAAACAGACAACTTACGTAGCGTGGATATTAGTCTTGAGTGTGTTACCATGCATCGTCGTCCAGCTTCCGCAAATTCTCGGGGCGCCTGCGCTGAGTAGAGTGTTTGTGATCATTGGCAGCGCCATGGCTTTTCTCGGCTTCGTAGCATACTGCGTGTACCAGGTAACTTTGCTGCGGCAGTGTGGTGATATGTTTTTCCCTTTCATAGGTGATGACTCCATGGATCCAACAAGTAATGGTAGACTGGCACAGGCATCGCTACAGAAGATCTCATGCTCTACACCGAGCTCACATTTATTCTCGTCAGAAACGGTGGGGAGATCTTTTGCTGAACGGGGAGAAGTTACTGAATTACGAAGTCCTTCGAAGGTTCGTTGCTTGTCGTATTTGACATTTTTTAGACTAAAACGACTGTTTGTTGTTGGTTTCGTACAGGCTGTTTCATTTCTTCGACCAGAACGGTGACGGGCTCCTTTCAGAGAGGGAGCTGAAAAACTTTATAAAAACCATTGGCCTGACTCATGACAGCAATATCCCCGAAGGACTGGAAGCGAAGATCTGGATGGAAGAGTTTGATCACGAGAGGGACGGCAAGCTTTCCTTGGTCGAGTTTGAAGAAGGGATGGCAAACTGGCTCAACAGTTCCAAGCTCGGACTCGAGTTTGTGAAGCATCGTTCCTTTAAGGGGGATCGTACCACCTCTGGACACTGGGCAGAGATTGCAAAGGTATGTAGCGTTACTTTCACAGTTGGTCCGCGATTCTTTTCATTTATTTTTTCTTCGTACAGGAAGCTCAGTCCTCTCTATATGCTCTTTTAGAGGACGAAGAAGTTCACGCTCCCGAAGATACCGAAGATCCCAATGGTGTTACTACCACTATACAAGAAGTGGACGTCGTGGAAGAACCACCGCCGAGTACTCTCGGAGGAATCCTAGTGACAGCCACGGCGTGCTTGCTGGGAGGGATGGCACTGGCGTGCATCTTTGCTGCTCCTCTGGTGGACACCATCGACGATTTCTCCAGGGCCTCTCACATCCCGGCCTTCTTCGTCTCCTTCGTGGTGACACCGATCGCGACGAGCTCCAGCGAGGTGATCTCTTCCATCACTTTTGCTTCGAAGAAGCAGAAGCGTGGAATCTCGGTAACTTACTCTCAGGTACTCTGGAAATCTCTGTAGAAAGCTCGCTTGAACTTACGCTTTTGTTCTTGTCTTTCACACAGCTCTATGGCTCCGTTGTGCTCAATAACACGCTTTGCTTGGGGCTGTTCCTGGCGATCGTGGCTGCTCGAGGCCTGGTGTGGGATTTCTCGGCGGAAGTTTTGATCATGGCTCTAGCAACCATGGCGATGGGGTGCGTGGGTGGGATTTTCACGACGATTCCACTCTTCATGGCGTTTGGAGCGTTTCTTCTCTATCCACTGTCGCTTGGTTTAGTCGTGCTTCTCAACCAGTACCTGGGATGGCACTAGAGAGAATTTCCTACATGCGAGCTTTATAAAAATCTAACGGTCGGCAGGAGTCTATAAACGTGTTTTGGGCCCAGATCCGACGGCTGGGAGGGCTCGGTGATCGAACGACAGAGCTGTCCTTGCCTCATTTGCGTCCTAGGGTTTTTGTGCTTCTTCTTTCTGGGCTGGGAGTCTCTCCGGGCGCCTGAGCGGATCGACGAGCAGCCATGGGGCTCACCTTCACGAAGCTCTTCCAGCGCCTCTTCGCGAAGAAGGAGATGCGAATCCTCATGGTGGGGCTCGATGCAGCTGGTAAGACCACCATTCTCTACAAGCTCAAGCTGGGCGAGATCGTGACGACCATCCCGACCATCGGTAAGCGCGTATTTCGATCGGGATCTGGCCGATCTGGGTTGTCGGGTTCTAGATCTTGACCAATTTTGTGCTCGCTCTTTTGCAGGATTTAATGTTGAGACGGTCGAGTACAAGAACATCAGCTTCACCGTGTGGGATGTTGGCGGTCAGGACAAGGTCGGGATCTCTCTCGTTTTTTTCTTCATCTTTGTGTCCTTTTTCTTTGTTCTTTCTGACAATTCTTTGTTCTGGGATCGCAGATCCGACCCTTGTGGAGACACTATTTCCAGAACACGCAAGGTCTGATCTTCGTGGTTGATAGCAACGACAGAGACCGTGTTGTGGAAGCCAGGGACGAGCTCCACCGGATGCTCAACGAGGTCTGAAAGCTTTGCTTGTTTTGTGGGGTTCTCACGATGAGATTTGCTCATTCCAGGACGAGCTGAGAGATGCGGTGCTGTTGGTATTCGCGAACAAGCAAGATCTTCCCAACGCCATGAACGCTGCCGAGATCACCGACAAGCTCGGCTTGCATTCCCTCCGCCAGCGTCACTGGTGAGCAAGTCTCTTCCCTCTTTTGAGATCTCTCTAAGATCTAAACGCTTTGGTTTTTGGATTCCATAGGTACATCCAGAGCACTTGTGCTACCTCCGGCGAGGGTCTCTACGAAGGGCTCGACTGGCTGTCGAACAACATCGCGAACAAGGTAACCAAAGTTCTCTCCTTTTTTTCTCTCTTTTCTCGATTCGTGGCTTCCTTGCTTGGATTCTCGATTCTTATTCTCGGGATCTAAAGTTTGTGTGGTGGCGAATTCCAGGGCTGAGTGATTGCCGTGGGGACCGGTCGATCCATTTGAAGTTTTGCGCTTTCATCATCGTCCATTGCATGACTACCTACAAATATATAGACTACAAATGTGGCTTTGCTTAGATATAAATGAATTCTCTTTCATTACTTACAACGTTTTCTATCAATCACGAGGTTACACGAGATTTAGGGTTTTGCCTATGCCAGTGCCGCGTCCATGGATTTTCAGGCTCTTCCACGCGGCTTCTTCGCCATCGATAGAATCCCGGGCTGCGGCATTGTGGAGCGATCATCAATACACAGCAGCGCTCGCGCTGATCGAGAAGGATCCCGGCGGAGCTCCTCCCGGATTGCTAGATCGCGCTCGGCTCCTCAAGGATCAAAGCGAGCGAGGGAGCCACGATCTCTCCGACTACTACTTGGATAAGATTCCTCCCAGGGACGCCGCGGAGTATCTCGGCCCGGTGGAAATTCGCAAGACCGAGGATGGAAGAGGGCGGGGTGTGTTTCTCACTGCAAATGCCCGCGCTGGCGATTTGCTCTTCGTGAACACCGCGGTCGTGGAATTCCAAGAGGATGAGATTGATCCAGATTTTGTGAGGATGAAAGAAAAGCTATTGCGCAGGGTCGTGGAGCGATGCAAATCGAGCTCGCGCGCTGCCGCGCAAGTGAGTTCTATGTATGCTGCTCGCTCGCTGGAGATGGAAGTGCCGCCCATGGGCGTCTTTGCCCCAAATTCGAGCTCTTGCGAGCTGGGAGGAGGATTCAATCGAGGCGAGGAGCTAGGAGGATTCGATCAAGGCGAGGATTCGGCCATGCCAGCTTGGGACGAGGGCTATGATTTCTGGGGGAGGAACTTCTTTGGTCTCTGGCCCTTCCATAGCTTTGTGAATCACTCGTGCTGCGAGGCCAATCTCTCATCGCGGAAGATCGGCAATGCCTTCTACGCGTACGCCGCTCGCGATCTGGAATCCGGGAGCGAGCTCCTTGAGGCGTACTGGAGCGCAATCGCGTTACAGCCCTACCGTAAGCGCAGATCGATCCTCCCGTTCCCCTGCCACTGCGCGAGATGTGAATTCGAGCAAAGGCTGGAGCGCGAGAACCCAGAACTGGAATTCACGGAGAACTGGGAGAAATCGCTGGCTGGATTGAGCCGGCGAGAGAGGGGATGGCTGCGAGCCTCGCATTTCCACGCGTATATGAGATCTCTCGACAGGGAAATTCCAGAGGAAGAATTTCTAGAATCGTGCCGCGAGGTCTCGCCAGGATCGTTCCTGGCGCTTCAGGCCGCCTTGCATTTCATGGCGCCTGGCCGAGACAATTCACGGCTCGAGGATTTCGCGCGCGCCACAGCGATCGAAGCGTGCGGGCGGCAGAAGGAAGAAGTGATCCAAGCCATAGTCACGAAATTTAGGGTTTATGGTTAGCTAGGGTTTAGGCGATGGCGCTGGCGAGGACGACGCGGCTTCGCGCGATCCGGGAGCTCCTGCTCCTTCCCAAGCGATCTCCCAATGCAGGTGTGTGAGGTTTCGCAATTCGCCGCTCTGCCGATGCTCATCTTCTTGCGATCCAGGGCAATGCCGGGAATTTCGAACGACGAGCGTCCTCCGCGACAATCTGGAGGAGATTATCATGGTACGTGCGCTGCGCTGCTAGATCGGGCTTCTCTCACGCCAGGGAAGTTTTCCAGAGAATCTCGGCCAAGGGGAATCAGGCCCGGGGCGCGCTGGCGCCGCTCGTCGGCGTTGGGCCGAGCAAGCCGTATCGCCTCTCGGGCGAGGACTCGGAGTGGTCGGAGAACTTCACCATGAAGCCGCTGGACCGGCAGCTCAAGAAGAAGCAGCTATGGCTCGAGTGTAAAAAGGCCTGGCAGATGAAAACACAGGTGGATGGCAGCATTCTCAACGTCGTGAGGGGCGGATTCGCGGTTTCCATCGCCGGATTCGTGGCGTTCATGCCCCGGAGCATGAGGAAGACCGCCAACGTCCACTCCAAGTTCTACATTCTCAACGTGAGAGCCGACAACAACGAGCTCATCGTCGGCGAGGCCGAGGGGACTGCTATGACTTGGTCGAAGCTCTTCCGGTTCTACAAGAGGAGCTTGCAGCGGCTGGACGTGGTGGTGTGGATCAAAGGCACGGTGGTGGCGCATGCCAAGAACGGCTACTGCGTAGCTCTTGCCGGGCACTTGGCTTTTCTACCCAAGGAGTACAGGAAGAGCACCCGGCTCGAGTCGACGTTCCGGATCATGACCATGTATCCCAGGACGGGGAAGATCGTCGTCCAGGAAGTGAACACCAAGCACTTCGCGTCGCTAGCGCCGGTGGCGGCCGAGGAAGACAAGAGCAACGACAGTGAGGAAGACGAGAAGTTGGATCGAGGAGGAGTGACGCGGTGAGGATTTCGAGAATTTGCAGGGGAGGCAGGCACTCAGCTCAAGACTTTCCAGGTAGGTGGTGCCTGGTATTTCATTTATGATGTTACCTATGTTCTTGGGGTTCTAAAACGCGAGTCTTTTCAATTGCCTAGGTACTCCACTCGTACTGTGTCACTTTCACGGGGCTTTTCCGTCTTTCAGTTTCCTTCCTTGCTCATGCTCGATGGGGATCCCGCGCTTCTCGTCCGAGCTCAAGAGAGGGATCATGAGGGGCAGCTCAGAAGTCGCTTACTTGGGATCGATTCTTGGCCTGCTGGCATTCCTGCAAGCGATTCTTCCTCGAGAGATTTGGTACGTGCTACAGGAGTGGGTCAGAAAGCTACTGCTTTGGGTGTCTTTCTACATCAGAGTGGATGTCTACGAGCTGGACGACAACCACAGCAATGAGATTTATGATGCGGTGAAGCTGCATATCGCGAGCATCACCGCCGATCAGCACGCTTCCGCGCGAAGGCTCACCATCAGCAAAGCGAAGGGCGCGGTGAAGCCGAGCTTTCGCCCGGCTACCAACGAGCAGATCGTCGATACATTCCAGGGAGTCCAGTTCTGGTGGGTGCATCGCGTCAAGCCTCTCCAGCCGAAAGGAAGTTCTCCAGCTTATTGGGGCCAGAGTAGGTCTGACGAGAAGCGGTACTTCACTCTCACGCTCCACCGACGCTATCGACAAAGTTTGCTACCGGCCTACTTGGATCACATTGCCGAGAATGCTAAAGAGCTGGATCGCCAGAACAGGGCCAGGAAGCTCTACACGAACGCTCAAAGTGATGGAAGGAGGCCCTGGGAGTATGTCCCTTTCAAGCATCCCGCGACTTTCAAGAGCATGGCTATTGACGACGGTCTCAAGCGGAAGATCATGGATGATCTCAATGCCTTCAAAGTTGGACAGAGCTTCTACGACAGAGTGGGGAGGGCGTGGAAGCGGGGTTACTTGCTATATGGCCCGCCTGGGACCGGGAAGTCCTCGCTCATCGCTGCTATAGCAAACTTCACCGACTACGATGTCTACGATTTGGAGCTGACGGAAGTGAAGAGTAATGCCGAGCTGAGAAGGCTGCTTATGAACGTCAAGAATAAGTCGGTGATCGTGATCGAGGATATAGACTGCTCGCTGGAGCTACAGAACCGTGGACTGCTACCGAAAGATGTGGAGAGCCCCGCAGAAGAAGAACTCGCCGCAAGTGCCGATCAGAGAAAGAAGAAGGAGAAGGCCGACAGGGAGAGAAGCAGGGTCACTCTTTCTGGAGTTCTCAACTTCACCGACGGGCTTTGGTCGTCAATCGGAGACGAGAGGATTCTCATCTTTACGACAAATCACATCGACCAACTCGACCCCGCGCTGCTTCGATCTGGCCGCATGGACTTTCACATTCTGATGACGTACTGCTCCTTCCAAGCTTTCAAAGTCCTGGCGTCAACGTACCTCCTGCTCGACGATCACGAGCTGTTCGTGGAGATTGAAGAGCTCCTGGGAGCAGTACAGATTACTCCTGCTGACGTAGCCGAAGTTTTCATCCAGTACAAGAACAAACCGGATGCTGCGCTCGAGAAGCTAATCAAGGAACTTCAAGCTAGAACTTCCGGAGGAGGAGACTGACATTCGTATGAGAAAGATTGCATGGTACGTCCATCTAAGTTTAATCAGATAGATTTTACGTTTCTACTAAAGTTGTGGTGTCTGGGATATTTTCCTCTGCGGCCGCCTTCTTGGCCTTGGAGTTCCTGAGAGCTGCAATCATGCTCTCTCGTCGCGATGCTCCTGTTCTGGATCAGAAGCTCGGCGATACCAGCCTCTACCTCGCTGATAAGCTCCTCGATCCTTGGAAATAGATGATGGTCGTCAACGTCCAAGTGCGTCCGAGCCAACACCTTGAAGGCAGCGGAATCGCAGTAGGAGAGGTGGTGTGCATAACCATGCTCCCATCGAGTTCCTCGATGTGATTCGTGGTGAAGGTGAGGATCCGCTCGCTGCTGGTGGACGACCAGAGGCCATCGGTGAAGTTGAGAAGGCCCGACAAGGTAACTTTGCTTTTCTCCTCGTCTTCATCATCCTCGTTTTCATCCTTCCTTTGCTCTTTGTTTTCTCCTCGGGCTCCAGGCGCTTCTTCAAGTTGAGCGAGCAGTCGATGTCCTCGATCGGTGGTGCTTGGCTTCAAGTTGTTCTTGACGTCGGTGCGTAGACGTCGTAACTGGTGAAGTGAGCTATGGCAGCGATGAGCAACGACTTTCCCGTGCCCGGCGGGCCGTAGAGGACATATCCCCGCTTCAATGCTCGACCGATCTTCCGGAAGTAAGCCTCGCCGTCCATGAATCCCAGGAGATCATCCTTGATCCTGCGCTTGAGCTCCCCCATAGGTGGCGGGGTGGTCGAAAGGCACGGATTAGGAGTAGTCATTGAAATAGGTAAAGAGCTTTTTCTTCTGGACGCTCTATGACGTGCTCCAGGTAATCGGGGACGAGAGTGTGCATGCCACGACCAGAGTGAAAGATCGCTTCTGAGATATGCCACTGCTGCTCTCGACGACCCGGCGGACCCACTTGAAAGGCACGCCGCGGAAGATCTCGGCGACGCTCTCGGCCGAAGTTTGGCGCGCGAGAGAGCTGTCGACTAGGAGTCGCCGAGGTGGTTTTCGGAGACCATGTGGGGAGAGAAGATAGGAGTAACTGTCGCGGAGCTCTGTGTTGAGGAAGGCAATGAGACCGATGATGGAGCCGACATAAGCCACGCCATTCTCATTTCTCTTTTATACATACTTTTTGTACTAGCAATATAATCATTAACCTTGGTAATTTCTTAATTAGAATGTTCAAAGAAGGCGTTTATGTTTTGGACTTTGTTACCACGACATAGATCTAGACCACATCTTGTAGATCATAATCAAAAAATCTAAATAGTACTAGAGCATCAATGCCGCTAAAGTAATGCTTTCAAAGCAATCTTAGTTTCTCTTGGCACACTACGGTCTTGTAATAGACCTTCATATTAAATCCTACAACGTCTCATCAGATGAGAAATCTAGAAAGAATGCCAAGAAGAAAGCCATAAAAAAACAGAGATGGAAGCAGCTGTGACACTAAAATCAAATAAATAGTTTAGAGAGGTAAGTTGTGGTTTTTTCCTGGTCCTAGTCCAATGGCTGTATCTTTTGATTGCATGCTTCTTGGTCTTCTTGTCAGTGATGGACTAATCCTTACAAGTTAGTTCTTGTTGGGGTGGGATACTGCTGGCAAGGTAACAATTCTGTTCAAGGTACATAATTGGGAAATCATGGTTCCAACATTTGATACCTAATCTTGTACAAACACAAGAAGAAAAGAAAAAAGATCAACAAAAAAGAAGAATGTGTGGAGGGACAAAAGGTACTTCTAGGATTTCTTTGCTCTTAGGCTAAAACTTTGATAGTGAGTCATGATTGAAGGAGACTACCACAAATCACTCACCACCAAGAAGTCTTCTTGGCTTTCTCAGCTTGAGCTACTTTCTCATTATCCTAGTGTTCTTTCCTCATTTGCAATATTTCCTTCTCCTAACACATTGATCATTTTTTACTTTTATGAATTTTATTCACAATTTACTGTTGAGTTGAGTGTTTTCTATCTTTTTCATACTAATCTAGAATTAGTCATGACTCACGTGAATTAGTGAATATAGACAAATCCTCACAATTACGTCCTTGGGTTTAGTCGTTAGACTAATTAATGAATTCTCAATTGTCGTGACTCACGTGAATTAGTCATTTTGTGTTATCACTTGGATAGTAGACTATTATGTTCAAATGAGGTGCACTCTTGTTCATGGGCTTTTTTTTTATATATTTAAACCCTTATAAATTGTTTTTCGACTTATTCCTTTTAGTTGCTTACCAATTTTAGTGGTTATATTTGGACTGTCTAATATTTATATATAAGTATGAATCTTGGTAATCCTAATTCATCTTGTTTACCACTATTCTTAGGATCCTCTCATTAATGGTTTTTATTGATGGTAATTTTTTGTTCTTGATTTCTTGGTGGTGTAAGGATCAAGCTCTTAATGGGCTTGAGCAACAGTTAGTCTTGGTGTTTGCACAATTCACTCAAAACTAAGGATTGCAACACTTAGTTGCAAACAAAGTGCCTCATTTATGCTTGGTAGATACAACTTATTTTTATGTCTAATACAATTTTCTAGGCTACTTATAAAGGATGCCCACTTATGAATTGAGAATTTTGGGATGATGGCTATATATTATGGATAAGATGATGGTTGGAGTATTTAGATTGTGTTCTACCAATATTATATGCACAATCCTTGAATCTTTGACAAATAAAAAGTGTTCTTATGATGTATGGCACAACTTCCCACTATAATATCAATAAGATGAGTCTTAATAATTTTAATTTATCTTATTTCTGCAATTCTTCATGCTCTAAGCATTAATTAATAAAATAATTTATTGTGCTAAGCTCAATATTTAGTTTTCTTTAAAAGATTTTTTAAAATATTTTTATTAATGTTATATTGTGATTTCTTGAATTGGGGTTTAGACCATTGCTTATATACAAGAAAGGATGGATCAAATTCAATCCTAAATAGATAATCCATTTGCTATAATACTATAATTTATGTATTACCTAGCCAAGATGATACATATATATACATATATATACTTATAAACTTTATACCATTCTCCCTTAGAAGATGAAAAGGTGATAACAATAAGTGAGGTGGAACATCTAAAACTTTTACTAAATAATTATAGATTACTATAAGAATCTAAAACTCCCATAAAACTACTAACAAAGTTACTTATAATTGTGATTGAAATAAAACCCAAAGCCCTGGGATAAACATTAGTTGGTTATGGAATTCTGATAAATTAATTGCAACTCTATGTGTAGCTGGCAAATATTTAAACCAATCTCAAAACTATAATTTTGAACCAAAGTAAAGGACTTTAAGAACCACTATAGTCTATGAAATGCCATTATAACAAATGATACATCATATGTATAAATTTACTTGTCAATAATTCTCCAAAACCACTGTTAAGTTACACTCACAACCATAAATAGAACTTGCCTTTACATCTTCTTTTCAGTCAACATCCAAAATCTATATTAACTCAAACTCATGACTTTTATTCTACATATGGGAGGTTGGACTCACTCCATATATCCTTCACATCCTTTTTATCCCCTCTTTTAAGGAAAAAAAGTTTTAAAGCATTAGCTTCATTCAGACTCATTGCAGTCATTCTCATTCCACCATCTATGTTTAATTTCACTTTGCAAAGTGTACACTTTTAAAGGAATATATAAAACAATGATAAAACAAAAACTTTGAACAGTATTCATAATTGGGGACAATTTGAAATTGTCACTAAATTGTCGCTTGGAAATTGTCATGAAATTGAAATTATCGTGAAATTGTCGCTTGGAATAAGGGAATATTCAATATTACAATTTTCTACAAAAGAAACAAAAACAAGATTCTTAGCTTTACATATATACCTAACATCTAGATTAGTATGAAAAAGATAAAAAACACTCAACTCAACAGTAAATTGTGAATAAAAATCATAAAAGTCAGAAATGATCAATGTGTTAGGAGAAGGAAACATTGCAAATGAAGAAGGAACACTAGGATATTGAGAAGGTAGCTTAAGCCGAGAAATAAAAAAAGGTTGGGAAAGAATAAAAGGTAAAAAGAAAGAATTAAATGGTAAATTAAAGGATTGACACCTACCTTGTGAAATTTCTAATTCATCTTCAAAACTATCTCTATAATAATCAAGTTCCTTATTATAATCCAAAATCCATTCAAGCTTGTAAACATTACTTTCCTTTAAACTTGATAATTGATGTCATGATCATGCTCTACATCAAAAGGAGATGGTAAAACACCAAGAATATGACTAACTATTGTAAGCTCTTGAATTTAGATTTTTGAAGAAGTCACCCAACTCAGTATTACTCAAGTATAAAGACATTTTACCCTAAATATCTTAAAACTCTTAACCAATTAAAAAAAGGGTGCATTATTATTCATTAACTTTTTTCTTTTATATTTGAACTCTTATGGATCTTCTCTTAAGTTATTCTCTTTAATTGCTTACAACTATGTAATTATATTCCATGGAAGTTGAAGACAACAACAAACTAAGAATGGGTGTAACACCAATATGATCACATCCCATAATACTAAAAACTCAATCCAATGGAATAATATTAGCAGCTTCAAGTGACATACTCTATAATCAATGATGGCATGGCATGGTAAAAGAAGAAAATGCAATGAAGATAAAAAGAAAGAGCATATATAAGCATAACAATAGCTAAAATTCTAGATCTTGCAAAAAGCCAATACAAATCTATATTTAAAAGAGAATTAAGAAATTGAAAAAAAAGCACAATTCTGAACACTAGAGCAAAGCATTGCCCTTTAGGGATAAATTGCAATATGCTTTAGGTGGCTTTAGGGGTTTTACCTTTCTCTTGGATGTCCTTCAATCAGATATGATAGGAAGATTAATAATTGTATCTAAGCTTTAGCCACTAATTTTTAATTCCTTTTATGATGTTTATAACATAGTCCTTGGAGAGCACTCTCCATATATACAACTCTTGGCATACAAAATTAGAGCAATCTTAATAGGAATTTCATAATATTTCTAGCCACTAGAGTCTAATCTAGAGCTTTTGCCACAAAGGCATTTGCATTACATATGGTCCTTTACCTAATGAATGTGGTTACCTTAAACTCTATAATCATAATGTATGTGAGATATTTCCATGCAAGATTATTATGTTTCATAACACAATGCTATTATCATTTATTTTGTCAAAAGTTTTTTCGCATCAACCAACATAGTTCAACTTGAGAACTAGGATCTTAATATATTAACTTATTAAAGAATATTCTATATAATATTTCTAAATTTTTTAAATTTTTTTTATCTTATCAATTATTAAGTTAAAATATAAAATTATATTTTTAAATAAATTAAATTAGATTTTATATATCTTCATTAGCAACGTTATATTAGAAAATGAATATAATAAAATCTTTAATCTATAACTAATCTAATCTTTAATAGGAATTTCATAATATTTCTAGCCACTAGAGTCTAACCTAGAGCTTTTGCCAAAAAGGCATTTGCATTACATATGGTCCTTTACTTAATGAATGTGGTAATGTACATGTATATATACATACATGGTTTAGGATTTAGGGTTATATATGTATACATGGTATATATACATATATAAATATATATGTATATATGTATGTATGTATGTATGTATTACCTTAGCTATGTAATACATAAATTGTAATAATATAGCAGATGGACCATCTATTTAGGATTGAATTTAATCCATCCATTCTTGTATATAAGCAAGGGTTTAAACTTCAATTGATATACCTATTTTTATATTCCAAACACTCACATTGGTGGAGGTGAGGCATATATTTCAACTCTTGGTGAGAATGAACTTTTAATAAAATCGATTCATGGGGTAATCCTCTTCAAAATTTACTCATGGATTGTAAGCACAATTTATATTACTGATAAACAAAATTATTAATATTAAACTTTACCAACAAACCAATTTATATTTCCACATAAGCCCTAAAACAGTTTGAATGGAGAAGGCAACGCATTTTGTTGGCGCGAGTTGGGTTTTGTTGGATCGTTTGTGTGCTGATATTTTTCTTCGCTGAAGTTTGTGCCAGAGGGTGGCGGCGTCCCAGGCTCGGTGCGGCGCGTGGAGGAACAAATTGCGCCCACATTTGTGACCACCGAGCAAGAGGTAGAGCGGTTCGCTGAGACTAGCGCAGCCGTTCACGATACCAACACTCGGCTCGTCAAGGTTTCTGAGGTCCTCCAAAGTGAGTCTCTGTAGATCTCACTTTCTTAGAACTTTTTTTTGTTTTCTTCTTTCATTTTTCCAGCTGCTGCGCGAGCACTGCAGCAAGTTATCGACAGCAAAGTCCATGCCGAGGAAGAGGCCGAGAAATGGAAGAAGTACGAGGATCTCCAAAACTTGCAAATCCATCGCACCGAAAGGGTTGTCCAAGGTATCGTCTTGCACAAGGTTCATTCGTTTCATCCTCTGGCATGCATGTATGATCTTTCCCAGAATCCGTGGGAGGCCAAGTTGTACGACAAGAGGAGATCGTAACTTACCGTCCCGAGTCGCACCAACTTGTCCAGCCGGGAGGAGCAGTGATTCCTGCGGTGATCCAACCGGGAGTGGGAGTACTCCAGCCGGTGGAAGTGGTAGCAGCCGCCGCTCCTTCACTTAGGAAAGGTCTCTACAGCCAGAAAGCCTTGAGGAGCAAGAGCATTCCGGCCAGCAGCTATTCTTACGACTATCGGACTGTTGTCCAGCATCTGGAGCCTCCAAGTTATGGTAAGGTGAGTGTTAATTCATTCGTTGCTATAGAGGAAAATCGATCTAGCAATGATAAATGGAAGCTTTTTTTTCTTATCCTTTGGTGCAGGTGTCTTTCAGACTCGAGTGGATTAGCGAGGGGAACAAAAGCACGCAATACCAGCAAGACGTTGTCACGTTTGAGAGCGGCAACATCAGCACTCCGACTTGCAAAAACAAACAGGTTTTTGCATTGGAAAATGTGTGCCAAATCTGATTTTAATGTTTCTTTTCTCGTGATTGCAGATAATTCTTGTGTGGGATTCGCCCCCTCAATGCGTTTGCATCCTAACAAAACCAAACTGCAAACGAGTTCACGATCTCTGCAAGGAAATGATACTGTGAGTCTCTTCCATCTCTCTCGTTTAAGTAAGTTTTTATTTGATTGAATGTATGCTATTTTATCAGGTGGCTGCACAGCGTGAGCTTGTCAATCTACGTAGAACCCCGCGTCAGGAGAGAGATGCTTGCAGACGACTTGTCCATGGCTTTCCTTCATACGTGGGACAGTGGTAAAAAAATCGTGTTCTTCGTTTTCTTTTCATGCAACTTTTGTAGACGAGGAGCTGTGCTTTCTTCACAACAAAATCGACCTCATCGTCACCCTCGGCGGAGATGGCACCGTGCTTTGGGTAGCGAATGATTTTCTGAAACATTACATATGATCCAACCTCCATCTCTTTTGCAGGCTGCGTCGTTGTTTAGAGGCCCCGTCCCGCCGGTGGTCTCGTTTGCAATGGGCTCGCTCGGCTTTATGACTCCGTTTCGTATCCTACACCATTTTTTCCTTCCAGTTTTCATCGAGAAGCTCCTTGACTGTTCTGGTACCAACAAAAAAAGAGAGTGAAAGCTACAGAGAATGCCTCCTCTCGGTGATGAAAGGCCCCGCATACATCACCATCCGCCACCGCTTGCACTGTCGGATCATTCGCCACAGCTCCAGCTCCAAGAGCAGGAAGAAACAAGCCGGAGAGGAAGTTTACATCGTCCTCAACGAGGTCGCCATCGACAGGGGGATGTCCTCCTTCTTAACCAACCTCGAGTGCTACTGCGACAACATCTTCGTCACAAACGTACAGGGCGACGGCCTCATCCTCTCCACGCCCTCGGGAAGCACAGCCTACTCGTTATCAGCAGGAGGATCGATGGTGCATCCACAGGTAACTTGAAAGTTTTGATTCATGGTAGGTTTTCCTTTTGATTCTTTGCGTTTGTTCTCCAGGTTGCGGCAATGCTTTTCACTCCAATTTGCCCGCATTCCCTCTCGTTTCGGCCGCTTATCCTCCCCGAGCACGTAACGCTACGAGTCCAGGTGCCCGAGAAGAGCCGCGGCGATGCCTGGGTTTCGTTTGATGGGCGAGAGAGGCTCCAGCTCGGCTGTGGTGACGCGCTCGTGTGCCACCTCTCGTCGTGGCCGGTCCCCACTGCGTGCACGCTCGAGTCTACCAATGCTTTTCTTGAGGGCGTCAAGGAGGGGCTCTATTGGAACATGAGGAAGCTCCAAGTTGGCAAGGACATTGGTTTGAACGTTTAATAAGATATGTGAGTGCATGGACCTGAACATCACAAATATTGTTTATATTTGACTACATTTTTGGATTGGGATTTTCATGGAATACCAGGTTTGAATAAGAGGTGGAGGAGTATGTCCCTTTGGCCATTCCTCATATTTCAACTTTCAGAATGAAGTTCTTGCAATTCCTCTAGCTATAGATGTATATACCTATCTTCCAAGGTAGTGTGTGCTTCTAAGTTATATTTTTCTTGTCCTTCTAGCCATGAACAAAGCCTTCAACCCAAAAATCAAGGGTGGCTTTTTCAGTATCACTTGAAATCACTTCCACCATCCTGCAGCTTCATATGGACGTTTATAGAGTGTGGGCCTTTGGACCAAATCTTCCAATTGTATATTGCAGTTTACTTGAAGTTGAAACTCTTTTTGTAGTTGATAATGGAGGAGTTAATTGGGATCCTAGATGCTGCATACCTGCCTCCCAACTTCGGGGTGTGAGATATCTCTTTTGCCATGATGTCTTTCAAGCTCTTGCTTTTGTTTTATCCAACACTTTTCTTATCTTCCATAGTATATTGCACTATTAAGTGATTTATTGTTTTTGAATGTGAAGTCCAAGTGTATGGCTATGATGCCGTATACTAATATTAGCATAGTGGGATTTTGGTAGCCATCAGATTTTTCAATTTGGATTGCTCTTGTATATAAACTAGGGTTTTTGGGTTAATTGATATGCACATTTCTATATTCCATTTCCATATTTTATATATTCACATTAATAGAGATAAAGGGTAGTTTTGATTGTCCCTAAGGAGTGTTTAGATTTGAAATTCTACTTTAAATTTAGCTTTTGCATTATCTAAATCTCTCTTTTCTTGTAGCTTTTTCAATTTCTTCCCTTTTGTTTTTTTTCTTTTCATTCATTTTCATGGCAGAGTAGCAGCCTCCTCCTCCTTTGACTTTGGAGTAGCAATTGATGCAATTGCTCAATGCTATATGGTTACAGTTGAATAATTAAACTCAATTGATGGTGGCATTCATAGTGGATGGTATAGCTCTTGTTGCCAATCCTCGAGTTCGGCCAAAGTTCTTCTGTGGGAATCCTAGGGATGATATGTACCATTGGTTCAATCACTTCACAATGATTATCACATATCATTCTTGGGATGATGCTTAGTGTTTACATGAATATCCCATATATCTCTAAGGGATGGCATTGCAATGGTATAATAGTTTGACCACAACCACTCGTAAGGATTGGAGCATTCTCTTGGACATCTTCAAACACACATTTGGACATGCTAATGATTGTAATGATGCATTTCAATAATTGCATCGTCTTTATCAAGGGCCATCTGAGTCTATGATGCAATTTAGCATTCATTTCTGAAGCCTCTTGCTTCGTATATAGCCCAATATGTCGGAGCAGATCAAGTTGAGAATGTTGTGCCTAGCATTTCATCAAGATCTTGTAGGACTTGTGCATGCACTTGCTTTAACCACCTTTGACAATACTTTTCATTTGACAGAATGTTATGAGATGTCACCGCTTCCACTTCTCACTACACATCCTTCAACTCCACTTCTTGTGGGAGATAGTCCTATTCTAATGGAAGTTGATGTTGTTGCTACTTAAGTTCAAGGACAAGGGTAAGGATGTGGTCATGGCCGTGATATTGTAAGCGACTAAATTTTCCATTCTACTTTAGTCACTTAACCACACCTCCAACCACTTGGAGGAGTCTCACTCACAACCTCCGTAAGTCCTATTTCAGACTTGGGCTTGTTAGCCCCGAGAATGGCATCCCCGCCACTCAACCTTTGCACTTGATCCAAGTGCTCCATGTGTCCGATCCCATGATCGACACCCCAAGGTACCACCGACATATCCGCCCGTTACGCTAAGGCCATGCCCCTTTACCTTGGTCACACTAGTGGTCTAACACCACCTGCATCACAGTCCCCTCTCTCAAGGACTGGGCCATCCGTCCATGAGTGATCATTCCAGATCCCCTCCTTAGCATCCTTAGGATGCCCACAGACATGGGGAATAGCCTTCCCCAATATAACTTTTCCGGTCTTCGCCAAGTCCCTTTCTGGCCATGGCCGTGTTTGCCAACACTGCCACTGGATCAAGGCTCACAGGCTCGACCACTAAGTCCCAGGGTCCTCTGGGACTTCCTCACCACACGACTGTATCCTTAGTCACTACACCAGAGGACTGCTCCTCTGCCTTTCCACAGTCTGGGCCTTCGGGACAACATTTCGGAACACCGTGGCCTTACGCAAGCCTCGGGGGTACTCTCCCCGCCTTTCGCCTTTAGGTGCTCTAGCCATGGGCTTAGAGCGAGGTTCTGTTGAGCCACGACAGGTATCCAAGTAGGTAGTGCCACCCACACTTGGACTGGGAGCATCGGCCAGTCGATCTCCCGGGGGAACTAGAGCCGGTTCTTGAACACTTCACCAAGCTACCCCGCTTGTCGGTCCGTGTTCACTCTAGTCTTGGACTTCCCAGTGGGCAGCTCATCACCCAACACTGGGTCCGGCCTTCCTGGGCCAAACTGGCCTTTCCTGGCCAAACTGGCTCCACTGCAGTCCTCCCCCTACTATACTTTTGGAGCTCACCAAACCCCCCAGGGTCTGGGAGACGAACGCTTTGGGCTTTCACCCTCTCAGACTCGGACTCGGACTCGGACTCGGACTCGGACTCGGACTCGGACTCGGACTCGGGCTCGGTCTCGGCCTCGGCCTTGGTCTCGGTCTCGGTCCCGATCTCGGTCCCGGTCTCGGTCCCGGTCTCGGTCTCGACTTCGGACTCCATCTCGGGTCCATCTCGGACTCCATCTCGGGTCCATCTCGGACTCCATCTCGGGTCCATCTCGGACTCCATCTCGGGTCCATCTCGGACTCCACCTCGGGCCCATCTCGGACTCCATCTCGGACTCCATCTCAGACTCCATCTCGGGTCCATCTCGGACTCCACCTTGGGTCCATCTCGGACTCCATCTTGGGTCCATCTCGGACTCCACCTCGGGTCCATCTTGGACTCTACCTCGGACTCCATCTCGGACTCCAACTCGGGTCCATCTCGGACTCCACCTCGGGTCCATCTCGGACTCCACCTCGGACTCCATCTCGGACTCCAACTCGGGTCCATCTCGGGTCCATCTTGGGTCCATCTCGGACTCCACTTCGGACTCCAACTCGGACTCCACTTCGGACTCCAACTCGGACTCCACCTCGGACTCCATCTCGGGTCCTTCTCGGACTCCAGTTCGGACTCCAACTCGAGTCTATCTCGGGTCCATCTCGGACACTTCCACGTGTCATGTGTTGGTCCTTTTGGGTCCCTTTTTGGAGCCTCGCTTATTGCTCGCTTTGTGCTCATTCCTCTAGCACTTCATTAGGAGTTCCACTCCCGCTCTCGACCTTTCAAGTCGGAACTTTTGGCCCAAACGTGTTACACTCGTTTGGCTTTCGCTTCGGCCACTACCACGTGGCACCCTTCAGGCTCCACTTTGGGGCCTAGGGATTTTGTGTCTCACAAATATCTGTTATTGGGCGTATGATGAAGTTGGTCACATTTATCAGTGAAGTCGGCATTTTCTAGATTAACAACCTCCATTTTCTAGGTGGAAACCTTGGCATTAACAATGTCTTATTGGTTCTGCTGCAATGGAAGATCTGAACAGTGAGATGCTTCTAGGAAACAAAGAGTTGCACGAGTAATTAAAGGTCTTTGCGTGAATAAATTAGTAACCCTTCCATTTTTCTTTCAAAAGTATCATCAAGAGGTTCACTTAGCACCAATTCATCTAGTATTTACTTTTTAAGCTCATTTTTATATAAAAAAGTCTCCTATTATTCTCTCTATAATGGTTGATATAAGCTCGAGTTTATTTTCTATTACTCGGATTATTGCCACACGTTGCCGTCTACATTTGTGTTGTGTAGTAAAGCCAATTTTCATTATGTATGGTAATGGCTGTACATACATATATGCACGGGAAGAGGTAGACTTAATTGTTTATGTGGGTGATCTTGAGCTTGAGTTGCAGTCATTACAGGTGGTGCTGAGTCAAGCTTTTGACCTCATTTTTAGTATAGATTAATTATAACACAATCATCCAAATGTGACTCTGAAACTTTTCCCCCTTGTCTCATATTTCCTTATATTTCTTCCATTCCTTTCACTTCTGTTTTTTTCCATCCCTTTGTTTTTACCTTTGCTTCCATCATTTTTATCTCCCTATTACTTCATGTGTTTCCATTTTGTTCCTCTATTCCTTCTTTTGATCCCTTTGATAGTCTTTGTGTTTGTTGCAAATGTGACTTTAGGTATCAGAAGTTATCTGTCGGCTAGTCCTTACAGACACTCTTTCCTTACTACCATGATGGCAAGAGGTCGGTATTGCTGGACCCTTTATCAGCCCCTCTTGTGCTAGTGGAGTTAACTGGGCATTTCGAGTGTACTTAGACCAGACAAGCATAAGGATAGAATTCCAATGTGTTATTAGCTAAGCATATTTAGCCTGGTAAGGAGTTCCCGTCTCGTTATATCTTGCACTGGCTAATGACAAGAACCCTTGTGTATTGAGATTAGTCCCTCAATATCGCTGGATGATAGTTTACCGTGTCTGCCAAACACCCTTGTTATTATGCCCTTTGTGTTAGTCTCATTTCGGTCCCAAATGCTACTTATGGAAAGTGTCTAGATTTGCTCATTTGGCATATTTATGGAATGTAGAGATTGGCATGAACACAATGGTGTTCATTCTGTGTCCAAATTCACAATCTAGCGTCATTCCATATTTAGTAAGTTTCAAGCTTGTCCCAGAGACTAACTCTTGATACTAAGGGAGGCTTGGGGTGAAAGCCCAAAGCGTGTGTTCCTCAAGGAGGGGGGGGGGGGGCTATGGGGGGTTCCAAATGTATAGTAGGGATAGTGGGTAGGTTGGGCATGGCTGACCAACCTGAGGCATAGTCTAACTTCCGCTTGCGTGCCTGTCCTTGTTTTGCAT